ACCCCGGGATTTAGGGTTTCATCTGCCAGCTCCTACTCGCCGAGTCCCAATATGGACTCGTCGAGTAGGTCACATAACACGCGATCCCACCCCGCTGCTACTCGACGAGTAGGTCAACCAACTCGTCGAGTAGAGCTTCACCCAATAAATCTTATTTAAACAATACCTGAGAATCGGGGCGTTACATATATACAGTTCATTATGTGTACAAGATTGTAGAGTGATCAACCATGCAATGAAGAAAACAAAAACGAAATTCAAGGTGGACGTATTAGAAAACAACCAAACTGAAAATATCCCAATAGAAGCATTTGAGAGTACATCAAGACACCTAGTGCACAAGGGTGCTTATTGTAATTATATTCATGAAACAAGATAAGATCTTAAAACATAAAGCAATTATACGAGTTGCATATCTAAACAAGATAACACAACAATTTCACAAACACATCTCTCAGGCTTCTTTATTTTGACAAGGTTATCACGTCGAACACCATGTATGCAGGCTGCAAATACATGATATTTGTCCGCGTTACTAATAGGGATAAAGAATGACACTAAAAGAGTCGAGGTAATCCTCGTAGTTTCTGCTGAATCCACCAAAGCTACCCTTAGCGACTGGCAGCGAGAAACTAGTCCCCTGGGTTGTGCCATATGGCCCATACTTCTTTTTGTTGGTTAGGAAAGACAATGACGTAATCACAGTGTATCCGCCATATACTCTCACAGTTCCGCTAATCTCGATGAGGTTCTCATCATCAGCAAATGTAAACTGAAGATATACCTAAATAGATGATAAATGATGTAAGATAAAACTAGAATATAAGTGCAATACATGTTTAGGTAAGAGATGTAATGAAAGCTCACTATACCGTATGAGGTGAACCATCATCACCACCATATGTTTCAGAAAGGTGTTTGACATTATCACGATCCTTGTAAGTGAACCTGATTGAATCTACACAGCCTGAGGCGCTGATACAGATCTCGCAAATCCTGCCACTAGGGATGAATGTCCAGGGATTAACTCCACCTTTACCTCCCCATGGTGCAACATGTACGCCATTTCCTTCCTGTATATAGGGCCGAAATAAAATATAACTAAGAAGTGGAGAAATCTTAGCAATCAACAGATGAAGTGTTAGGAAATTATAGGGTTTGTGGTGGAGATCTGGATACCAACTTGGATCGTGATATCACTTTCCGAACTGAT